TTTTTTTCAATTGGGACTACAGTAGGGATGACAGAGAAAATATTGGAGTGAGAAAGATGAAAGAGAAAGGGTTGAGAGGAATGAGAGAGGTGAATAGGGTTTGGGGGGTTTCTTTTTTTTTTTTTAGTTTTGAGAATGAAAATTATTAAAATACCCTTAACCTTAAAACTTAGAATCCATGGTATATAAGGATATTTTTGTCTACTAAAACCCGGTACACATTGCTAAAATGTACCAACTGAAAAACAGGCGTACGCGCGTTAGCAAACCCATATATATATATATATATATATATATTCCTAATTATATAGAATCTGTTCCTTTTTATATAATTATTACATTACTCTTCAAGTTGGAGTAAGTTCTATGCATTCAACTTGCTACAAAATATGGTCAATCCATAGTCCTCTTAGAGACTTGGAGAATATGTCGGTCAACTATTCACTAGTGTTGACAAATCTTGTGGTGATGTCTACGGACCCAACTTTTCTCTTATAAAATAATAATTTACCTTAATATATTTTGTCTTATGAAAAAAAGGATTAGTGCCAATGTGGAATACTACTTGGTGATCATGCCACAACATTTTTTTTTCTTACTTTTCCATGATATTAAATTACCTCCGACAAGAACACAACACCTTGAAGTGGAGTGTATATTTGTTGGTGGCCCTGCCTTGTCAATGTTAGAATACCTAGCAATATGAGTATTTTTGTTATCTTCATAAATTAGGTCTTTTCCAGAAGGAGCATTCTTAATATATTTTAGGATGCATACGATTGCATCAATGATCTCAAAAATGGAGAGTTTAAAAATTAACTTACCATGTTCACTACAAATGCAATGTCAGGATGAGTCACAGTGATGTAATTTAGCTTACAAACTAACTTTCTATATTTCAGGATTAAAATGCATTGTCAAGGATCTTGGTTCACACTATATACGTGTTATGTGTCATTTGTATAAACAGCGCAAACCTCACTGCAAACTAATTCTCATGTCTCATGGTTTGAAAAATAGGCTTAAGTGAGACATGAATAGTAGATTTAATTACACTACATAGTTGAACATCAATCTTTGCCAAACTATAGGGTATGTGATGTGCAAGCAATGTGCACTACAACGTGGTCTAAGTTTTGGTTTTTGTGCTTATTGATTCAAGTTTTAGTGTGTTAATACAGGTGACATGGGTTTTGATTTTTTCATTGGATGAATGGCCCAACTTATGAAGGTGCATAAGAGGGCATAGAAGGGCAACAAAGGGTGGTGGCAGATTTGAGGGAAATAAATTAGTTTACGAGCTACTATTGTAGCTTTCATGGAGTTTGATAGTTATTGATGTGGTAGTTGCAGCATTTGTTGTAAAGTTTGTCTAACAGGGTAAGATAGGTTGATTAGGAAGCAGAGAGTTGTGTAGTGGAATTGAAATGTTAATGAGAATATGTAGTATTTTTTAAATTGATTTTATGATGTAAGGATCAATTTGAAGTGTGATGCCTGTCGTTGTTAGTGTGGTGGATGTGGTGGTTCTTGTTTATGGTCTAACCATCTGATTGTTAAAAGAGTTCATCAGACTCAATGATAACAAGTATGTGAATAACTTAATGACCAAAAATAAAAAAGAGAGTTAAATGGCCCTCCAGTTAACTTTATTTCTAACCATTTGGTTTCTCGAAGGCTCATAATCCCTTCAAATCATTGTATCCACCACCTTCTTAACAATGCATACAGTTATCTGTTCAATGACTTTAGCTCATTTAACATTGTACTCGAGCTGGGCAATGGCTTACTTTCAGGTAACAACCTAGCATTAGCACACAGTATCTGATGAGCAATCCATGTTTGGTATATTGAGAGTTTTAGGTTGGTTGCTGAAGGTCTAACTCAAGCCTCTTGCTTTACCTGGTCTTGGGACCGTTATGATACAATACAGCAGTTTGATGAAATATCATTTAGTTTTTAAATTGTATACAATTTTGCAGACTTGATCTAATTTTCTTAAAATTTTGAATCTAACAGTTGGTTTGATAAAATATGCTTTTCAAACAAGTGATTAACAAGGTAATTTTACAAAATATAATTGATTCTATACCATATTTGGGTGTCTATTGGATTTGAACATCTAGGTGTAACAAAATATCCTGTACTTTGTCTTGCAAATTTATTGAAAGCCAGTTTGATTATGATTTAGTACATTTGCTAGACTCTTCTGTCAAACCTCAGAACAGTTTTAAATACCTTTATTTTTGGGATTTTATGATTTTGCATCATGGTTCTGGTTTTAGATATTGTGGGGTTATATTCTTTACTCTTTTGTTGTTTGTTTTTACTATTAGGTCATTGGATCTGGAAAGAAGAATCGAAAGAGGGCTTACACACCACTGGATGATCAAAGTGATGGCACATATCATCAGTGCCCACAGTGTGGTAATAACAATACAGCATTAGATCTGGAATAACGTCTCTTGTACAATGCAATCTATGTAGCAAAACGTTTCCCCCTAGAGTCTCCTTTGTTTGCTGTGCTTATTATTCACGGTGTTCAACTTTAAGTTGTGCTGTTCATATGAATATTAGTGTTTGTAGCCTGAGCTGACCTGCATGAAAGATATTAATATTGTTTCTTTGAAAGGATTATTGAGCTGATATGTTTAATTAGATATGGTTGTGCCTTGTCCGTATACTTGAAATAGATTTGAAGTTTTTTTGTTTGGGTACTTATGTCCGCATCAGCTACTGTAATTATAGTCTGAATTTCATGACAAAATCACGTCATAAAACCAAAAGAGATAACAAAATTGTGACTTTTTTCTTTATTTCTTGTTCTCATCATACACATTGAGTTCTTTATTTATTATTTTTAGATACTGAAGTTGGTGGATTTGGTTGCAAACATGACACTGTTCATCTCCAATGTCAAGCATGTGGAGGAATGATGCCTTCCCGTACTGGTTTTGGCATTCCTCAGTATTGTAAGTTATCGTGTTTAATTTAGTAAATGGCATTGTCAAATTTATGATTTTGTTTTTATATGAGTAGCTTTTTGATTTGGGTTAAAAGTATTTTTGTGCTAGCTTGTAATAGTGGGGTTTAATATTCACATTCATTGATAATGTCAGGTAATTCATGTTTTCCTTTCCACAGGTTCAGGATGTGATAGACCATTCTGTGGAGCTTACTGGCATGCTCTAGGAGTAGCCGGGAATGGCTCTTACCCTGTTTGCTCCCAGGATACATTTAGGCCTGTATGGGTTATTGTTCATCATAGTTGTTAATTTTGACTGTTTTTATTACTTGCCTCAATGATTAAAGAACAAGATAGAGAAAAAAACCAAGACCATTTTTCTGTATTATTTCTGCAATTGTCAACCCTGAACACAAACATCAGCTTACAAAGGAAATCTCTTCCTTTCACACAAGGCATTCCCTGTCGCAACAATTAAAATTTTTCTTGTCTGAACATCTCACAAGATTAGAATATACAGACTTTCTCAGAAAGTCTGCCCCTGTAACAACTAACAATTTAACTATATTTTTAAATTTCTTCCTATAATACACTTTCCAAACCCTCTCATTACTTCCCTGCCTAACAGTTTCATTCTAGAAAGATCTTTTGTTTTTGTGTAATTATTCTTGTGGCATTACATGCTGGATGTTTTTATCAATTTCCATCATCCAGTTAACAGTGCAGAACAATGTTTTCTTTCTTGGTTTTTTTGGCCTTGTGAATTAAAGGTAGTGGATATAGTATAAAGGTCACTTTAGCCACGATCTTTGTCCCTTTTTTTCAGATCTCAGAACACCCTATTTCGAGCATTCCATTGTTAACACATGAAAAGAATATTCATGAACAGAAGGTATGTGCTTTTCAATCCCTTTATTTTTTATTGCTTTTGGTCTGTTTTAACTTACATAGATTATGATGATATTTTTGTTTGTGGTGTTTTAGATAACTGATAGTTGCATTAGACAAATGGGAAGGACATTGCCGGATGTGATATCAGAGTGGATACAAAAGCTGGACAACAGAGAAATCGGTTAAGTGATAAATTTACCATCCATGAAATAGTTAATAAGAAGCATTCCTCTTTAAATTCTCTTGTTGCCTTGTTTCCGAAGCATTTTCCCAATCCAAATATGATGTGATTAACTGTATCAGCATCATGATCTCGCTCGGTAAACTACTGAGAAAGAATTATGGTGTCAACTGTGAAACAAATTTGTGACCATAGATCACAAATCCCTTCAACATGTTTTCACGACAATTTTTTTTAATCAAGCTTGCTTGAGATTTGATGAGACAAGGCGTTGGATTATGATTTTCTTGGTGGAAATTGGAAGGGAGAAGCCATGGCTTGGATCTATTACAACCTCATGAACTTTCACTAATTTGGCTGTACAAAGGAACCAGCTGTATAATAGTTGTACAATATGACTCACGGTGCTGAGTTAGCAACTAACTAATCAGTAACCACAGACCACACTACTGAAAATGAAAAGAAAAACAGGCCCTAAGGTTTCTGTTTTACACTAACTTGTATACACATGCAAGTTTTAATTTAATGGGAAAATTTTCAAAATATTCTTATAAAATTTAGATGTTGTTGTAAATTGATGTGATGTACAGTGAAAATGTCAACACATTTTGACTTGCACCTTGCCTTCTTTTTCTCTTGGCAGATAGATCGCGAATGATGCTAAATCATGCTGAGACGATTACTGCTCGAACTTTTGTATGCCGGTAAGCTTTGTCCTGAAAGTGGAATAATCTAAATATAGTCACACATTCAGCCTCAGATTGTTTACTATTCAAAAGTTTTGAATAAATCTATATAGTGTGATACCTACCGGACCAATTTGTCAGTATCCCAAATATGCCAAGTTTGTGTTGTTTTTTACATGCTAGTTCTCAGTATACATTACCTTAAAGCATTACATTTTACTTTTTATTTGGAATTACTATACGTTTGGTTATTAATTCTGTTGATCTCTTGCATTTACTTGTTCAGTTTTATCATATTTTTGTTTTTGCACTCTACAACCCACTCCCAATATCAACTTTCTAATTAGAATGGCCAATCAACTTCTTTAGTCGGTTCCAAGATTCTATTTTAAAAGATAATCTTTGGCCTATAAAAGAAGGTAAACCTTTGATGATGACAGTGTTCAAAAAGTCTTCTATATCCAGAAAACACAAGAGTTCATATGAACTGAGCTTTACAGATTACACTGTTCTTCTTTGGCTATACTGTTGACTAAATTTCTATGCATATATTTTGAAGTTATTAACACCTTGAGCTAGTGTGATATAAAAACTGAATATAATAAAGTGTGGAATTAGGTCAGAATGTCATCACATAATTTTCATATTCATAATGCTTTAATGTAATCAATCATGCAGTGACTGTCATCACAAGTTGGTGTCATTTCTCCTTTACTGGTTTCGCGTCTGTATACCCAAATCTGTAAGTACCTTAAACCCAAAGCATTCTGCTAATCAACAGATTCTAGCTCTACTAAAAACTGTTTTTTGGTTTGTTTTCCTGTAATCATGATGTGTACTCTGTAGTAATAAATTTTCACTTGTTACTAATATTTGGTGAAAAAAAAAATGGCTGGCCTAATGAATAAATAAAATTTTCCCCTTGGATAATGTATGTTGTGCTAATGAAAATTCTAATGCTATACCATTCAAAAGGGATGCTAACGTCTCACTTTCTAAAGTTACTAGCTATTATTTGAAATTCGTGGTGATCTTATTTTATATGTGGTAGCTTGGTCATACCTTTGTTTAGTGAGTTTCACCATAATTTCAACCACTAATAGAAAGCATTGGAATTTGAAGAGTGTCTCATTCAGTGTGTTGTTAGCATTTCTCTTCTGAGTTCAGAACACTGTATTTAGGATATGTGAGAAACCAATTCCATCAATTAAAATCTGAACAAACAGAAAATAACTCCCAAGTTTTTTTTTTTTTTTGATGTTTTGTTGTACTATATACTATGAAAATGGTGTGCAGCAAAGTTGACCAAGTTTTACTGTTTTTGCGTATAATACAAAAGCTTCTTCCACCAGATGCATCAGCAAGACAAGATTGCTGGTATGGATATGCATGTCGAACACAGCACCGCAGTGAAGAGCATGCTCGTAAGAGAAATCATGTGTGCCGTCCAACCAGAGGCTCAAACGTGTGACTATAATGTCAGCATTTTTCTTTCAAGTTCGAACCGTTTTCTTATTCTTCCCTTTTCAACAATACTTTGTGTTGTGTCAGTTAGACTTTTCCTCTTGTCGGAGCAATGACGCTAATTCCTGGATTCAAAGCAGTTCAAAATTTAAAAAGTGGTGATTATCTAGCAAGTAAAAGTTGGTTTTATATTGCAGAAACTGTAGATCATAAAAGGTTTTTTTTTTTTTTTTTTTTTTTTGTAATGCCTATATTCATAAATTTTATTTTCATGACAGCCATCGTTGCTTTACAAAAATTTAAATAAATTATATGCTTCTATATAACAGAAAATTGACTGGGAAAATTTTGAAGGATGATGAAAAATGGTCAATGCTATATCTGATTAAATCTGAATTATTTATAGGTTTTATTATACGATTTTTTTCTTTATTAAGTTAAGTAGTCTAGATGGAGAAATTTACCTTGAAATATATATATATATATATATATATATATATATATATATATATATATATATATATAAAGATATATTTTAAATATAGAGATATTTTAATAATTTTTATTTTTATATAAATTCTTTTTATAAATTAAAATTATTTTATATATAAATTAAAAAATATAAGAATTTTTTTTTTCACAAATTAAATTAGGCATAAAGTAATTTTAATTATAAAGAAACAAATTTCAAATTTTCTCAACAAAGAATAATGGAAAAAAACTAATAGATAGTTTCATTCGTGTTAATGACATCAATTAGCTACTTAATTTTTTTAATAATATCTTTAATACAAGATGTTGAGTTCTTGCAAAAGGTCATTTAGAAGAATTCTCTGATATTTTTATTTTCTTTTAATCTTCTATTTTTCTCCCTTCCAACCACCAATGTCATTAATTAAAATGGAGTAAAATATTCAATCTTTTATATAAGAATATTCTCAATTTTTAATTTATTGTTTTAGTGCAGCACATTTTCTTTGTTGTTCATTTTTAAATTACTATAAAAAAAATTATGTTTCAAACTAAATTATAAAGTAATTAGTTGTGTATTTTATAAAAAAATCATGTAAAATATTTTTTTTCTCGGATAAATGGTATCTAAAGTGCTTTTTCTATACGATAAACAAAAGTAAATTATAATATAACTTTTACATATATAGTTTGTTGGAAGAATACGTTAGTTAACTTATGCAGGGACAATATACTTTGTAATTTCATTTAAGAAACACAATTTTTTATAAAACTTTAAAATAAAATATATATTTAACTTATTTTCATAGTTATCTCAATAGTTTTAATAGTCTATAGATACGATGATATTGAAACATAATTTCCACAATGTTATATTCTGAAATTGAGTTAGAAAATATCACTTCAGAAGAAGCAAACTCCACACAATCCAGTATGAATGAAGATCAACATAAAAAACATGAAGTCACATATAATTACATTAACTTCAAGTGTAATATAATTTTCTTACCAATAAGAATAGTTTCCAGTCATTATGTTTTAAGTTGGTATGGATAAATAATTTTATTTTTATGAACATTATGAATTAAAAATCAATTGCTAATATTTTTTATATAGTTTAATATATTAGTAACTAAAATTGAATTAGTATTTTAAAAAAAGTCAAATTAATAAAATCTCTTTTAAAATCTACTAAAAGTTAATGAGTGTATTAGAATGAGATACACCATCAAAATAAAAGGTAAATAAAATATTAAAAAATCGTATAAAAATATCCACTGAGAAAAATTGTAAAGCTTAGAAAATAGTTGAGAGTGATTTAAAAATAATAAGACTCAATTATTTTAATATTAAAAAGATTTAGTATAAATAATTTTTATTACAAACGAGTTTTATTATTTTAAAATATACTATATTTCTATAAATCACGTTTCTAGAGTTATTTAACTTCTCTTTTAGAGTTTTTTCTCTCTGTTCATCTAAGAGACCGCTTATGTGATTAGAGGTCGAGTTCTTTAAGAATGACCGATTAGAATTTCTAATAGAGTAAGTTGGTATTTTACCCTTTTCTCTAAGCTTAAATCTTTTAACTTGTATATGAGTTTTCTTCCGCTTGCAAGTATTTTATTTGTCTTCTATGAGTCCACACTTATCAATGATCATAATGATATGTCTTGATTGTTCTTGTGATGTTTCTACATGTAAATAAAACATCTTGTGGAGTTAGAGGCATATTGGTGTTTTTAAAGTTGTTTAAGAGGGGTCACAAGCAAGATGTAACGCCCCGACAACTTCTTATGGGTTAGGCTACCGAAAAGCAAATGCATTTGATGATATAAGTAGCCAAATCAATCCCTTTAAGCTATCCTTCAACTTTATAGTCTCATACCTATACAGTCTCTAGATCCCTCTCATTCCGGTGTATGTTCGATTCATCCATGTGTCCCTTCCACTCGAAGCCTGCCAGGAGCCGNTTTAATATTAAAAAGATTTAGTATAAATAATTTTTATTACAAACGAGTTTTATTATTTTAAAATATACTATATTTCTATAAATCACGTTTCTAGAGTTATTTAACTTCTCTTTTAGAGTTTTTTCTCTCTGTTCATCTAAGAGACCGCTTATGTGATTAGAGGTCGAGTTCTTTAAGAATGACCGATTAGAATTTCTAATAGAGTAAGTTGGTATTTTACCCTTTTCTCTAAGCTTAAATCTTTTAACTTGTATATGAGTTTTCTTCCGCTTGCAAGTATTTTATTTGTCTTCTATGAGTCCACACTTATCAATGATCATAATGATATGTCTTGATTGTTCTTGTGATGTTTCTACATGTAAATAAAACATCTTGTGGAGTTAGAGGCATATTGGTGTTTTTAAAGTTGTTTAAGAGGGGTCACAAGCAAGATGTAACGCCCCGACAACTTCTTATGGGTTAGGCTACCGAAAAGCAAATGCATTTGATGATATAAGTAGCCAAATCAATCCCTTTAAGCTATCCTTCAACTTTATAGTCTCATACCTATACAGTCTCTAGATCCCTCTCATTCCGGTGTATGTTCGATTCATCCATGTGTCCCTTCCACTCGAAGCCTGCCAGGAGCCGCTCCTTGTTAGTGCCCCTTGCACTTCGTGCCTCTTGCACCGACGATCACTCCCCGCCCTCGTTAATGTCCAGGTGTAACACAAGAGACACTAATTTTAACTATTTATGTTTTTGTCATGTTCAAGTTATTGGTTTCATGTTTGTAGTGTGATTTGTATGAATGATTGAGTTGTGTGAATATTTTTACATGTTGAATTGATGGATAAAACTTTACATTTGTATGATTTGGGTTGTATGATGAAATTTTGGAATATTGTCTATATGGTATTGCAAATATGATATTTTAAGACTATGAATATGGTGTAATTTGTATTTGTTGTGTTTAAACTCTATATGTGGTATAGGCTGACATGACATTGTTGGAATAACATAAATATGTAGAATTATGTTATGTAGAATTATGTAGACTTGGTGGCGAGGCTAAGGTCAGGGAGCCACTGACTTTGTAGTCATTGAACGAGAATATTTTCGTTGAGCGAATTCAAAGTTAGAGAGTTTACTAACTTGGTTGTTGTTAAGTGCAACAACTCTTCGTTGGACAAATTATGAGTGATTTAATCTTTGATTTATAGTGATTATGTCGTTGGACGAGACGTCTTGTCATTGGATGAGTGAACTTTCAAGCATTACTCGTTGAGTAACTGGATAATCTTGCTGAGCGAGATTAGCATGGTTGTTCAGTCTTCCATGTTCAATGTTTTGTATATTTAATGTGATGTTATAATTGTTAAGGAAATTATATGTATATGTGATCTGTATGAGGATGGTTGGTCTTAATCTAAGGATGATTAGAATTTGGTTTTATTAGTATATACACATTGATGTGGGAGTTCAAATGTTGAAGGTTATTCTATCACTCTTATAACCATTCAAACTCAGGTAGAGTATAATGTGGTGTGTGGTGAGAGGTGGAGAAGGTCATAGTTTAGAGGCTTTAACTTGGTCAAAGATGTTAATGGATTAACCTTGTGTGTGGTAGGATGGAACCCATTGACAATGAAGGCCACCACAAGTGCAAGATTTCCGAGATTTCACATTAATGCTTGTATTTGGATAATTAACTCTTGTTTAAGTCATTGTATGTGGTGTGCTTGTCTTACCAATGATTTGTATGAAATCATTGACTAAGTATGTGAGATTAATTTTATTTTCATTGTAAGAGAACTCTTTTGTATATTAGTTTATATTTCTTTTTGTGTTATTTTGTCTTGTTTTGTTTTCTTCTTTTGCAATAATCACAGTATTGATGTGAGTAGATGTGATTGAGGAGCTAACATTTTGAACGATTGACTGAGATAATTTTATAATAAAATTATATTATAATAGCTTGTTAATGTATATTTGTAATATTATTATAATCTATATTTTGTATGACCGTATTAATATATGATATACCTATCTAAATATTTATAGGAAAATATTTTATTTTAATAATTTTATTGTATTAAAATGGTTGTAAAAAAAAAGATAAGATGGTTGTAGAATTCAATATTAATATTTGGTACATTAAAAAAAAAGATATACACTCACTGTTCACTCATGTGGGTATAGATTTTTTGTTAGATATTGTGATTAAGAAAAAAATATTATAGAAATAATATAACAATTATTAGAATTAAAGGGCTAATGTGATATTTCAAGGCATTTTATAAATCTAATGAATTAATAATTATATATAATTGGATAACCATTTATAATTTTTATCTATTGTATCTATTACTGTGTTGGTAGAAAATACTTGACGTGGTATAGAAGAATGTAATTTCAAATCCTTTTACATATAAAAAGTTAGAAAAAATAGTCATTTAATTCCTATTTTGCTTTGGTTTCAATGCAAGCATATGCTCCTTAAATTCATTTTAATAAAACCATAAATAGTATTTAATGCTCATGACGACATGGTTATAAATATATGTATTCGTACTTACTAAAGCTTTTGTTTGGATTCTCATCTTGGAAATTGCAACATCTAACACATAACATCACACCACATAAAGTTATAATAACAAGAAGGGCCACCAATTAATATGATATTTTCAGAATGACCACAGTAGTTAGTGTGCATGAGGTTTTTGAATCAGTCCTTCCTTAAAATGTGTTTGCTTCAACGTTCTAAGAAG